TGCATTGGAATGTTTGAGAAGAAACACGTACATACTTTACTACATATATATACATATTCTTTTTTTTTTCCACTTATATGTGTCTGATGATGTTCTTAGTTAGAACGAAACGTCACATTAGTTTTTAAATAAAATAAAAATGATAGATAGTTTAATTACTTTTGCTTTTTCAATGCATTTTAATGTAGGAATGGACAAAAAATAAAAATAAAATGGAAGACGAGCATGAAAACGAGTCTCTTTAGACGAATATAATTTGGCAAAGACATAATTGAGATGAAGACTCTTTACATGGTTAGTTCTCTATTAATTCGCAAATAAGGACGGATCGGAAGAATTTTAATACGGTTCATACATATTTTGGTTATAGTGCTGCTACAGTTCCGACCTACTTTCGATTTGAATTAACTCAGAATGGGGAAAAAATTTATTTTAAATGTAGTAATTATAAGAGAAAATGCAAAATTCTGTGTTTTGGTAACCATACAGTAAAATATGATAACATTTGCGCAATTCAAAGCTTTGTTATGTTCTTCATCAAGCAAAGCTGATATGAGATTAGGAGAACAAATAAGTAAGAGTATACGCCCGTATAACAAGAAAAAATTTTCACAGGTTGAATTCATTCATTCTTACAGTTTTGCACTAGGCACAGTCATAGAAAAATAAATAGATAAGCAACGTTTCAAAGAAAACATTTTAATAAATTGATTATTATTCTCTCTAGAAAATCAATAGTATCAAAGTTGAAAGTTGCATTAAATTTAGTCTTCAGATTTCAATAGTCTATGCATTCGTGCCAAGCACGTCGAGAGAAGTGGGTGTGGGTGTGCAGAAGCTGAAATTCGAATTGAAGTTAACTTACATATGCAATCATTCATACTTCAATGACTCATTTTAATCTATTCCAAATTTATTATACTGTCACTATTTATTCTAAATCCCCCTTCTCTCTCTGCCATTTGTTTCGGATTTTTTTTCGTTCTGTTACCGATCTTATTCTATTTCATTTATAGTCCTTCTAAATATTATTTCATAATTCATTTATTCTAAAAATATTATAATAATATTCAAATTGACTACTTCCTTTTTCTCTGTGTAGAACAAAAATATTTATGATTATATGATGAAACAACTATGCGTAATGATGGCAACCTTATTCAAAGTACTTCCCAGCGTTATGAATATATATATATATATAATTATTAATGATAGAATGATTCACACGTTTCAGAACGTTTTCAAGGCGATTGACAATTTTGACAAAATTGCTGCTGTCTAAAATAATTATTTTTTATCTAAACTATGACAAGTAAGAAATAAAAGTTCGTGAGAAAATAAATTTAAATTTTCTTTTTGTTTTTTTAATCAGAATATCGTATCCTTAGCAAGCTTGGTGAAGGTTCATATGGTCAAGTTTTCAAATGTGAGAAAATAACCGATGGATCAAACGGGGCTTTTAAAAAACTAGTTGATTCTTACAATAGGTAAAAAGTCTTCGATTCTTTTGTTTTGTTGTAAAATATGGCGTTCTTTATTTTCCAGTATAGATGAAATACAACGAATTCGAGAAATTCACGTGCTCAAACAGTTAAACAAACATACACACATTATCGAACTTCATGAAATAATTTAGTATACTTTTATGAATTTAGATTTATCTTGTTTAATATAGATTTTTTTATTTAGTAATAAGCGACTAGGTTTGATATGCTTAGTATACGAATTGATGGATATAGATCTTTACATGTACATCAAAGGTATAGATTAAATTTGAACAAATCATTCTATTGTTAGATATATCAAATAGATCGAAAATCTCCATTGTCACACAATATCATTACTAAATGTATCTATTCAATTCTAATAGCACTTGAATATATTCATAGGTATTCATGTTTATATTGATATGCGAAACTATTTCTATATTGTTATCATAGACATGGATTTATTCATCGAGATGTAAGTGTAAAACTTTTAAAGTTTGTTAAATAAATTTCGAGCATATGTATATCTAAAAATTTAATCTCCATTTCGAATTTTAATTTTATAACAAATAAATGAGCATATAGTTATTTGTTTTGTCTACAGAGAGTTAATCGATCGAGATGAGGAAGAATATGCTTTATCCTAGTCATAGTACAAAAATTCTATTTGATATAGCAACAAAACAAGATCATATTGAAATGATAATATATGCTAGTTCAACCATGGCTGTTTTTTGGATATTTAGAAAACGAACCTTATTTATCATTAACAAAAAATATTCAACCAAAAGAAATGTTAAAAAAAATAACAGTCAATGATCCACCAATGCCATCACATTTAAATCAATCTGTCGAAGCTTATTGTAATAGTAAAATATATAGGGAGAAGAATTAGCAAAAACATATGCATCAAATGATGAAATAAATATTAAATTTACTTGTGCAAGATTGGGTTGTATTAATATTAGTGATAATCCATCTGATGTTTATTATTGGTCAGATAGATCAAAATAGTTCAGTCATCGAGATTTATGCCTATTTGTTGATCGAGTTTTAGAAAATCAATTCAAACTTAAAAAATTTCAAATTTATTTTGTTTCTTCAAATAATGATTTTGCTTGGACTGATATCGATAATTGTCGACAAGATTTAAATTATGTACCTCAAGATGGAGCACACTGGAATTAGACATAGAATAGAATATAGAAGCTGTGCCAGATTTTATTCATTGTGCGTTTTAACATCGAGATTGAAAGAAAACAAGAAGAAAGAGTCGATTATCTTATCAATTTTAAATTAAAAAATATTAATTTAATCAAAAACCAATTAATAAAATCAGCTTTTCATTTTTTTTAGTGAAAACATTAATTGTTTTATATATAACATTATTTAAATGTTTGAAGCTATTTTTTCTTATATTACAACTTGATAGACACTTTTAAACAATTAATAGTCATGTGCATTTGTGAAGACATTCGCACGGCATTGGGATAAATACTCTTTGGTTTTCTTTTTATTTAGAGTTGAAAATAGATAGAAAAGGATTTGAAAGAACGAATTTATGTACTGTGAACGAATCTAATTGTGTATATCGAAAAAGAAGAAGATATGCGCTATTCTTTCCACAAACGTACATATCTTAAGATCACATGTCAGAGATGTCTTCTGGTAAAAGAAAGAGAACGAGAAATGGAAACATTTACGAAGTCTTTTTTATACTACCAAGGAAGACTTTTGTCAACATTGATCATATTCGTAGTGATTTTTTTTCCTATCAAGATACACAGTTCAACAATTTCTACAGGATATAATGCAGAAAGTAAAAAGTATTAGGTTAGAAACAGAATTTTGTACTCGTTTCGAATATGAGCTTAGAAGTTTTGTGGGACGTCCAGCTTACGAGTTATGGGTCATTATTTGAGAAACACCCAAAAATTAAGTTTGGACGGGGAAAATTGACTTTTTTTTGCAGTAATAGTTTCATTTGCCGTATATGTTATATTACCGATGCTTTTGCATGAAAACAAAGGGAAGATGGATGTCGATCACATGCGATGAGAACCGACAGTTTCGAGATAATCATTCAAAAACGGCCGAATAAATGTTGTAAGTCTATTTTTCCATAGAAAATGAAAAAATCACAAAACAACTCACCGTGTCTCTTACCAAAAAGTTCATTGTTTGCATACGGCTTACTGAAAACTAATGGTTCTTATATTATTTTGTAGAGAAATGCTTGCGCTTTCTTTTGGCATATTGGAAATAATTTTCGCTTCTATTTTGGGTTGTTTTTCACGCACAGAAGCCCATCCCAACTAATTTTCGAGGCTGTCAAAGATTCACTCATAACTGGTAAATGAGAACTTCCACAAAAATTCTGATCTCATATTCGGAATAATCACAAAATTCTGCTGATAACCTAGTACTTTTTATTTTTTTTCAGGTTCTTTTAAGTGAGGGTGTGGATGTTGGTGTACATGTACGTGTGCATGTAGCTGTTCGTGTCAATATAATTGAATAGTACTAGGTGGGTAAAAATATTATTCCAGGGGGATAACACTATAATTTCAAATAGCGTACATAACTATCTTTATACCAAATTAAAGCGCGTCAAAAACGGGATTTTTTGATACTAAATAGTAAGAGTTAGCAAAACCTTTTGTCGAATTAATGAAACATACAGAAATTTTATGTTTTTTTTTGACATAGAAAAATCGAGACGGTAATAGTTTCCATAATAGAGTCAAACATTTTTTACATGGTTACATAGAGCTCGTCGAGCTCTACAAAACTGTATATATTAAAAATTTTTTAAGCCATTGTTCTAAGATAAAAAGTTTAAAAAACTACTTGAAAGATGCTTAAAAAATGTCAAAAAATTCATTTTTTTCATTTGGAAAAAAATTCCTCGATTTTTCAAGAAAATTAGCGCTTTTCTTTGACTTTACTATTACACACGCTTCAAAATATGCTCATCAGATGCAGCGTGAAAAACTGCGCCTAACGAGTCTATTTCGAGGCATCTATGGCAGCAAAAATAATGAAAAAAGCTAATTTTCTTGAAAAATCGAGGAATTTTTTTCCAAATGAAAAAAATGAGTTTTTTGACATTTTTTAAGCATCTTTCAAGTGGTTTTTTAAACTTTTTATCTTAGAATAATGGCTTAAAAAATTTTTAATATATACAGTTTTGTAGAGCTCAACGAGCTCTATGTAACCATGTAAAAAATGTTTGACTCTATTATGGAAACTATTACCGTCTCGATTTTTCTATGTCAAAAAAAAACATAAAATTTCTGTATGTTTCATTAATTCGACAAAAGGTTTTGCTAACTCTTACTATTTAGTATCAAAAAATCCCGTTTTTGACGCGCTTTAATTTGGTATAAAAATAGTTATGTACGCTATTTGAAATTATAGTGTTATCCCCCTGGAATAATATTTTTACCCACTTAGTAGAGACCCACATCTACCACACCCACACCTACAGCCACCGACATCCACGCACACTCACACCCTAATACGTATTCGTGGCAAAATGTCAACTATTTTACGTTCGTTAGACAGCTCTTCGTCTGCTCTATTTCAGACTTGGAACCGGACTGGCCGATCTACCGGTTATCGGTCCAGTTCGCTCCAACTTTTAAGATCAGTCGATCTTCACTAGCTTTTTATTAATGTTTTGGACACTAAAGCTTGCTTATTTTGCTCGTTTTTAACGATTTCCATAGGATCAGTGGTCAAGAGATATAATCCTGAAAGTTTCCCACTGACAAAACTTGAATCGTATTGGAAATCGCAGCCATAAATACTAGGCAACACTTTCTCGTCCTTCCGTCAGAGCCTCATATCATGTTGAATGAATTTATTATACTCATGAAAAGTTAGCCAGATTTTACAAGTTGATATCGGTCGAAATTCAAGATTTTTCATCTTGAAATTTCGGGCTCACTCGTATGCAGTAATTTTGGCTGACTTTCATAGAATCCCAATAGCCACCAGTATTCAGTTCATGCTTTCATAACAAAATATTTATAAAAAAATCATTTCTGTTGCCAAGGTCTTTCTAACTACTAGCATCATGCACCTGCGATAATATTTAGATGTCAATAAACCTTAAATAGGAAGTCTAATGTAAAAATCTAACATATTAGCTCACATTATCTTTTACTCTACAGTAGCATTCTTTTGCGGATTGAAATATCTTTCAGTTATGTTAAGGAACTAATTAGTATTTCAACTAAGAATAGATTAAACCAATCAATCATAAAGAAATGGTATCATTATTTGAAAAAACCCAAAGAATAGTTAGCTATTGTTCAATCCTAGTTGCTGTGAGTTCCTAGTCGAAACTTTTTGAAAGAAATCTTCGTTCTTTCTTAATATTAGCATACTAAATGTGACAGACTAAAATAGGAGTTGTTACTATTAGAAGCTCCACAACTTATATGAGTTTGATATTGTATGTTTTTGTAGAACTCAAGTAACAAGTTGTTTCTCGAAACAACTAGTTGTTTAGCTAATGCACGAGAGCACCGCTTTTTCGCCAGTTAAATCAAGAGCAGCCAAGAATTTGGACCAGCCAGTTCGGTCTGATCGAAAAAGCCAAACCGACTGATCCGGTCTGGTCTGAAAAAATCGGGCTGGTTCCAAGTCTGCTAAATTTAGGACTATTGAGAAATTTTAGGGCAATTTGGATTCGGAAATAAACACGGCATACAAACAAAATAATTAAGAGCAAATTTTTTGAAAATTGTTAATGTAATGACAAATTTTATAATTTCTGTGTTCAAGAATAGAGGTGTAAGAAAAACCTAATATACACTTTTGTAGAGAAACAGTAACTTTATCTTTTGAGATGTCTCTCGATCTTATACTTCGAGATCTGTCCAAGAGAATACCATTAGATGTTTTGAAGTTATCACAGAAAAAATGACAATTACATTCTTATATCGACATAGTACTATTCAGTACACTTGTGATAACTCTAGATAGATACAACGTAGAAAGTTAAAAATTGGGACTTATAGATTTCTCGGTAGGGGCTCTCGTTCTCGATAATAATAAAAATGAAGTCAAATCTTCGCGAAATATGAACACACTTGATGACCTCTTGGACTCTCTTTAAGCGACATCGATACAAATGACACATAGTTAATTATGTTGAGATCATTTCTCGATGCAATGATTCTCGAAACGAATCGACATCGCATACGAATGTTTTTAACCGAGAGACTTTACTTTGATAGAGATAATTTCAAGAAAACTTATTAAACGATTTAGATTGACTAAATAATCGACACAAAAATAGGTTTTTAATCTATGGTAATATTATTCTGCATTATAACTATAGAAAGACGATTTTCTAATATTATCAGGATCATTGTCATTAGTTAGGCCAACATGAATCGGGCATCTTATTTCGAAAAGTTCATTGTGAATCAAGTCATCTACTTTTCGAATATTGCCTGGTCGTCAACTGTCAAGAATGAGTCTTTTACATGTATGAAAATACCATTTTATGATGAACTTTCCTAAGAGTCACTGCACTAAAGAGACGACAGAAATACAGATCACGCGCTCAACTCATGTTACGAATTTCAATGAAACTTTGCACATGTGTAGCTCCAAGTGAGATGTGCAAAACACCAAAAATTTTTTCTTCCAAAACTGTTCTCTTGTTGAGATATTGAAATTACAATAGAGGCACCTTCAGGTAAAAAATGACGATGACTAATGCAGTATTCATTTATTGTATAGTTCGTCATGCTTCAATAACAATGTTTTTAGTCATGAAACTTTGTGGATATATACTATCGCAGGTACTATACATACTGACACACTCAAAACTGATTTTTGGTGTGTTAGGCAGCATAGAGGTATTTCATAGATCCTAGATATATCTTGTACCTTGTGATCAAAACTTCTATCGCTTATGAGCGACCTATGAGCTCTCGCTTTAGAACTAAGTACTATTGACCTCTAGCTATTAGCAGCAATTTTCAAAACATTGAAACTCTACTTTTAACCCCAATAAAAACCTCTTCTTGTATATATATTTGAGCTAATTTGTGTAAAAATTAGGATCCACTCCCAGACAAGCTGCTCAATGGTGATCATCACATTTTGCTCAAATTAAGATATTCTTGTAGAGAGAAAAGGTTTATGAATTTTGATGCAAGCCATTT